CCGGGGCATTCTTTCTCCCAGCTCATGACAGATGAGCACGTGGAGGGGGACGACACTCAGGCACTTTCCAGCAGCGCTCTCTGCTGGAGTTCCCTCTCCCGTGGCTGCGGGTGCCCTGAGCACAGAGATGCACGGTTCTCTCTCCTCTCTCTCTCCTCCTTCCCTCCCTCCCTCCCTCCCTCCTTTCTCCTCCTTCCTTCCTCCTCCCTTCCTTCCTTCCTTCCTTCCTTCCTTCCTTCCTTCCTTCCTTCCTTCCTTCCTTCCTTCCTTCTTCCTTCCTTCTTTCTCTCTCTCTCTTCCTCTCTTCCTTTCTTTCCTCTTTCATTTAATTTTTATTTTATTTCTTTTAGAAAGGGAGAGTGAGAGGGAAACATCAATCTGTTGTTCCACTTATTTATGCATTCATTGGTTGCTTTTTTAAAAAAATTGATTTCAGAGAGGAAGAGAGAGGGAGAGATAGAAACATCAGTTATGAGAGAGAATCATTGACTGGCTGCCTTCTGCACGACCCCCCACTGGGATCCAGTACACAACCCAGGCATGTGTCCTGACTGGGAATCGAACTGGGCTCATTGGTTGCTTCTTGTATGTACTCTATATACAGGGATGGAACCTACAACCTTGGCCTATCAGGACTATGCTCTAACCAACTGAGCTACCCACCCAGGGCCGGGATGCCCAGTTCTTCCCAACTCACTCGGGAGCACCTGCAGGGACCTGGAAAGGTGGCACCCAGAGTGAATCCGTTGCCAGAGGCAACTGCCCTGCACTGATGGGCATGAACAAGACCTGGGCTTGGAGTCCTGAGCCCTACGATGACTTCGCACGGCCCCAGGCTCCACCAGGGACCAGGCTACCCTCTGCCCACTGGATCAGTGCAGGACACACTGCTGGACAGGTGGACCAGACTCTACAGCATAAACTCCAGGTCCATCCCTGAGAAGAGCAAGTTCGCCCACCCTCAACTTGGGCTCTTTGTTTTATTACATACTGTCCAGGTAAGAAACGTTGGAACCCGTAGAGAATTTTTATGAGTTTATTTGAGCCAAAATGATGAAAATTGCCAGAAAGATAAAATCTCAACAAATTGACAACAATGCATTCGAGAATGGCAGTTTTACCATTTATTTTATACATTAGAATCAAAGAAGGAGACATAAAAGGGGTTACATGAGATCCATTGGTAGCAGATTAAAAGGGTAGAAGAAAGTAAATTGTGGAAATCCCTGGGATTGGATAACGAGTAAAACAGAGAGACACATCCTTCTTTTGCATTGGTGGATACAGGGTTGCTAACAACATTTACAGCACGTAGAGAACGAAACACAACGAGGAGTTCCGGGTCTCATGCTCTGGTGCGGCAGGTGTGCCCTGAGAGGGTCCGGGAAAGGTTGCTCTGACATTCCAAGGGTGTGTGACTTTAGATGCAAAAAGACAACAGACGAGCTCGTTGAGGTAAAGATGGACCTTTGTCAAGGAAGATGCGACAGGCGTGGGTTGTGACCACTGCTTGACCCACTCTTAATTAGGAATTTTAACGTTCAGACTATCTGTTACTTTGGTCTCTGAGTTTGTAGGGCCCACCATGCAGGTCTCCTCTAAGCTTGTCAGGTTTGGTATGTAGTCCCCTTTTCACCCACACTTCCTTCTTTAGGTCATAAATCAATCCAAAGGATGCATTGGTGACCAATCACTTGGTTGGATAATGTGTTCCCAGGGTGCTAGGAAGGCTCATTCCTAGGAAGTCTTAGTGTCATCATTTGTCTTGCTGAACAATGGACCACTGGGGATGGGGCACGACTATAAACTTGATGGAAATCAACGCCAAAATTTTCTCAAAAGGGAAAGATAAATAAATGGGAGGCAGTCAGGTGTGATGGGACTTCATTAAGAGAAAAGCCCTCTTACCCTAGCTGGTTTGGCTCAGTGGATAGAGCATCAGCCTGCAGACTGAAGGGTCCCAAGTTTGATTCTGGTCAAGGGCACATGCCCTGGTTGAGGGCTCGATCCTCAGTAGGGGCATGCAGGAGGCAGCCAATCAATGATTCTCTCTCATCATTGATGGTTCTCTCTTCCTCTCTGAAATCAATAAAAATATTTAAAAAGAAAAGAAAAAGTCCTCTTGCCCAGCCAGTGTAGCTCAGTGGTTGAACATCGACCCATGAACCAAGAGGTCACCGGTTCAATTCCCAGTCAAGGCACATGCCTGGATTGTGGGTTCGATCCCCAGTAGGGGGCATGCAGGAGGCAGCCAATCAATGATGGTTTTTTCTCATCGATGTTTCTACCTCTATCCCTTTCCCTTCCTCTCTCTCTAAAATAACCAATAAAAACATTTTAAAGAAAAAATCCCCTCTGCCTGGCCAGTGTGGCTCAGTGGTTGAGCGTCGACCCATTAACTAGGAGTCACAGTTTGATTCCTGGTCAGGACACATGTCTGGGGTGGGGGCTCAATCCCAAGTAGGGGGCGTGCAGGAGGCAGCCAATCAATGATGTTTCTCATCGATGTTTCTATCTTTCCCTCTCCCTTCCTCTCTGAAATAATGAGGTATTTTTTAAAAAGAAATATAAAAAAGCCCTCTGGCCCTAGCTGGTTTGGCTCAGTGGATAGAGCGTCGGCCTGTGGACCAAAGGGTCACAGGTTTGATTCTGGTCAAGGAGGAATCCGTAAAGGGGGCTACATGTATCTTGGTTGCAGGTTCCTCCCTGGCCCAGGACCTCGTCAGGGCTTGTGCAGAAGACAACCAGTCAATGTGTTTCTCTACATCGATGTTGCTCTCTGCCTTTCCCCTCTCTCTTCCACTCTCTCTAAAAATCAATGGAAAAATATTCTTGGGTGAGGATTAACAAAAAAAAAAAAAAAAAGAGAGAGAGAGAGAGAGAAAGAAAAGAAAAGAAAAGACAAAGAAAAAAGCCCTCTGGATCATTTCTAACCTGAAAGCTATCATGATTTAAGTTTTGCTACCATCTCACTTTCCTGCATTTTGCACCCAGTATAATATTTACTTAGAGTCTGAGGGCACACCATGCATCTCTTTGGTTTTTACAATCTAACCATGAGATGGGTGTTGTTGTGGTTGTTCTTGTTTTAATATGGCCTATCTACTTCCCATTGGAAGCACTCAACTGTCATTATCATTATTAACCTGATTCCTGCTAGTTGTACAATTGGGGACTGTAACTTTAAGGATTAATCAGGGCCAAGGCTGTAAGAACACAATGGTGTAAATTATTATTACCATCTAAAATTTTCCAGAGGCTAGGAGGACAGTAAGAGTTTCATATGTACATTTCCTGTGCCTGAGCAGCATTATAGAGGACCATGTTTTTATAACCACTTCAGTTTCCATCTGAATTAATATAGTTAGTAATTGGGTTCTAGCATTTGTCAACGTAAGAAAAATCCAAACCTGTGCATAATTTTTATGAGTTTATTTGAGCCAAACTGATGACAATTCTTGGGAAGTAAAATCTCAAGGGATTGAAAAAATGCTCTGGATAGTGGCAGTTTTGGACCTTATTTTATAGATTACAGTCAAAGGAGGAATCTGTAAAGGGGGCTAACTGAAATCCTTTCTCTGGGATTGGATAATAAGGCAAAATGGAGGGACACATAGTTCTTTTACATTGGTGGGTACAGGATCGTTAGCTATCAACATTTATAGCACATGGGGATGGTATATTCGAGAACAAGATATCAATGAGGAATTCTGTGTCTCCTGCTCTGGTGGAAGGTTGTGCCCTGAAGGGTCTGTAAAGGAAATAACCCTGACATTAAAAATGTATGTCATCCTAGATGCAAAAGACAACAAAGAGGCCCTGACCGGTTTGGCTCAGTGGATGGTGCATCGGCCTGCGGACTGGGGGGTCCCGGGTTCAATTCTGGTCAGGGGCATGTACCTTGGTTGCGGGCACATCCCCAGTAGGAGGTGTGCAGGAGGCAGCTGATTGATGTTTCTCTCTCATCAATGTTTCTCTCTATCCTTCTCCCTTCCTCTCTGTAAAAAAATCAATAAAATAAAAAAAATAAAAAAAGACAACAGACAGGCTCAGTTAAGGTAAAGATTGCCTTTAAAAATATATCTATTTTTATTGACTTTAGAAGAAGAGGAAGGGAGAGGGAGAAACATCAATGTGAGAGAGAAATATCAACAGGCTGCCTTCTGCACACTCCCCACTGGGCATGTGCCTTGAGCGGGAATCTAACTAGATACCTTTCAGGAGGAAGTGCCCGTGTGGGGAATTGAACTGGTGACCTTTTAGTACATGGGGCAATGCTCAACTAACTGAGCCACACCAGCCAGGGGGGTAAAGAATGACCTTCCTCAAAGAAGATACCGGCCTAGGACGTGACTACCTGCATGACTACATGCAATGACTCACTTTAGTTAGGAAGGTTTTTGTTTGTTTAATCTTCACCTGAGGATATTTTTCCATTGATTTCTTAGAATGGAAAGGAGGGGG